TTTGAAGTGAGTGAATAACCAAGAAAAATTCCCTCATCTGCTTTGACGTCAAACTTGTTTCGGTTCTCCTTTGAATTAAAGATGAAACACCTTGAACCGAACACGTGGAAAAATTTGACGTTGGGCTTTCGATTGTTTAAGATCTCATATGGAGTGATTGAGAATCTTTTGTTGAGCAAAGATCGGTTCTGAGTGTAGCACGCGGTTGCAACTGCATCAGCCCAAAAGTATAGTGGAAGAGAAGCGAAGCTTATCATGGTTCTGGCTGCTTCACATAAAGAACGGTTTCGTCTTTCAACAATCCCATTCTGTTGTGGAGTATAAGGGGCCGAAAAGTTGTGAGATATCCCCTTGTAAGCCATAAAATCCTCAAAATCTTTATTCTTGAATTCCAGCCCATTATCGCTCCTGATATTCCTCACCAACTTTCGCAGATGTACTTCCACTTGCTTGATGAACGCCTTCAGCTTAAGGAGTAGCATCTGATTTCTGTTTAAGAAAGAAAACCCAGGTGAAGCGTGAAAAATCATCTACAATGACAAGAATGAACTTACTACCACCGAAGTTTTCGATAGCCGAAGGTCCACACAAGTCAATATGCAGAAGTTCAAGAGCTTCAACAATCTTTGTATTGATTCGTGTAGGATGGCTCTTTCTGCTTTGTTTGCCCATCTCACACGCTGCACACAGATGTTCCTTGTCAAACTTGAGAAGAGGAAGGCCTCGAACGTGATCACCAAGCACCAACTTATTAATATCTTTGAAGTTCAGGTGCGATAGACGTCGATGCCACAACCAGCTTTCATCAGTGTTTGCCTTTGATAGCAGACATATTGCTGGTTTTCCTCGAATTGGGTTGAGATTTAAAGGATACATCTCTCCCTTGCGTTCAGACTTCAACAAAACCTTTTTGGATTGCTTCTCAATTATTTCAGAGCCCTCATCATCAAATGAAACCTTCAAACCTGTTCCCACAACTAATTGTGACACACTAATGAGGTTATGCTGCAATCCTTCCACATACGCAACTTTTCGAATCGAGAAGTCTCCGTTGGTTATCATACCATATCCTTTGATTGTTCCATATGAGTTATTGCCATACTTGACACATCCACCATCCTTTAGGGACCGAAACTCCCTCAGCTCTTCCTTCCTTCCTGTCATGTGACGCGAGCAGCCACTGTCTATATACCATTCATCATCGAACTGCTCGTCACGTATCACCTGCAAATTCAAGCAGATTTAGGAACCCAAAGTTTCTTGGGTCCTGGTGAGTCTTTCACAGAAAAAGGAATTGCAGTAGAAATATCAACCAAATAAGTTCTTTTTATTAAAGTGGATTGATCTTTTCTTTTGATGGTGTACACCTTGATTTTAGTTTTATCTTGTTTAATTTTTGGTGTAGTCGATGGTGTGTTGTTAGATGGTTTTTGTGTTTTCTTTTGAATCCTAGGGTTAGCTATCCTTTTCTTATCATTGGAATTAGAATCAGAATCAAGCTTTCCCTTTCCTTTGATGTCCTTCACTGACTTTGATTTGCTTTGGGAGTTGGAAGGACCGAAACTAGACTTAGGACCAAAACTTGACTTTCGGTTCTAACTGTCGGTGTTGGAGCCGAAAGTAAACATTCGGTTGTTAGACTTGACGTTTTGACCGAAAGTAGACGTTCGGTTCTGTACGCTAGTTTTAGAATAGTAGGAATTTGGACTGAAATTTTCTTTTCCTTTTAGCTTTTCCTTCCCTTTGTCAATTGATTCTTTCTTATGAGGTACGTAGTTGGGATTTTGAGATTGCCAATGACGTTTTCGCTCATTCAGATTTTTCATGTATCTTTGATTTCTTTGGCGTTTCTGTTCAGCTAACTCCTTCTGAGATTTTTGGATATTGAAGCTAGCCTTTGGCTTCTTCTTTTGAGTTTCAGTTGTCTTAGTTGGAACAATCGGTTCTTTCATTGGTTCTTCAGGGATTTCTTTTCTTCCACTTGTGCTTGGTTTGTCGAAACTCGAGGGTTTTTTGATGGGTTCAGCAACGTATCTTCCTTTAACCCTCCATGAAGTTTGCTCAGATAAGCCTACGGTTTCGTCTGCGTTGTCAATAGGGGCTGACCAGAAGTAATCGTCGCACCCTTCAGCATTGTCTTCGTCGACCAAGATTTTTAACTCTGCCGTTTGTTTTGCAGTGATCCCTGTAACAGCATAGACCTGATTCGGCACAGTTTGAACCTTTTGATAAACCATAGCTTTCTCTTTGAGTTTCTGTGGCTTGTCTTTTGACAGGCGAGCGAATTCAACCGAATTTTCAAATATGAGGGGTTTCTCATTCTCGGTTTCGCTCTTCATAAACTCAGAGCAATCAACTACGTCTTCTACTGAGATTTCGCTCATCTCACTTTCCTCATCAAATTCAGACGTATTTTCTAAGTTCATTTTATTTTCTGAAATTAATTTGGTGTTCGACGAGTCAAATGATTGAATAGTTTCGGACTTAATTTTTAACCTATCATTTTCATCTAAGAGATTTTTTTAGCATACATTTATGTTCCTTAGATTCAATGAAGGTCTCTATCTTGTCCAGTCCAATTTTGTAGGCGATGGATGTCTCTTCTGAGGACACTATTGATTCACACTCAGCAATGACCTCATCCTCCTTAAATTCAAGGAAGGGTAAGATCATCTTATGAATCTTTTTCCGTATCTCACAACTTAAATGCAATTGAGCAATATTAGTATATAAGCGCTTAGCAATTAAACAAAAAACATTCCTTTATTTTAAAAACTTTAAATTGTCTCTTTGCAAATAAATACTTTCATCCCTAGCCCTATTCAATTCCGCCTCCTTCAGCTCAATCCACATCCTTCTCTCCTCACTTTTTGAAGACACCATGCTGAGTTGGTCAGTTAGGTTAGAATTCGCTAAGCGAGTTTGCATGAGACTACCACTTAAGTTAGAAAATTTAAATTTTAATTCATTTAATTCTTCTTCATAATCTGTTACTGGAATTTTAAGTGATTCAAGGATTGATTGTACCTTTTTGATCAGCCGATCACAGTCGTTAATCTTCTCGCTCACGGGCTTGGCTGCAAAGCATTTGTCCTCAGTTAGGTTCGGCTCCTTACTTGCACTTTCGGTTGATCCACCAGCTGTGACCATCAAACATCTTCCAGCCGAACCTGCATCCTTTGCCACATAAGCTCTTCCAGGAGTGGGCTTTCTCACCTCTTCATCTTCAGAATCGGTTAACCAAACTTCAACGCCACTGAACTCATCTTCATCTGCATTCTCCTGCACAATCAAGGCATTCATAGAACTGTGAGTTGCCTTCTTTTTCTTGATCTCTTCCAACTTGCGCATGTAGTACGTCTCATCGTCTTCACCAGCTCTTTTCTCAGCCATTTTCCTCAGCATGCAATCTTTGGCAAAGTGGTTCTTACCGTGACAGTAATTGCAGTCGAACCCCTGAGTCTCCTGTAAGCTTGCTCTCCTTCTTGTCTTCATCCTTTTGAGAAGAATTCTTCACTTCATCCTTCACCTTCTCAGAACTGTAACTTCCCTGCCAGTTTCGGTTCTTATTGACAGGAAATTTTCTTCGTGCAAACTTCTTTGGATTGGTGACCATCATAGCATACTCTTCGCTTGTAAGGTCACACTCAGACATATCCGACTCCTCTTCCTCTTCTGCAATACTTTTTCCTTTTGAGACAAGGGCCAGCGATCCCACACCCGAAGCTACCTTCGCTTCCTTGGTTACTACATTCTCATGGGACTTAAGTATTCCCACAAGTTTTGCTAGTGAGTAAGATTTAAACTGTTCATGTGCTTTCACTGTTGAAACCACAGCCATCCATTCTGGTCTCAGACCGTTCACGAAGGTTACCTTCTGCTCGATCTACTTTCTTTCTATTCCATGCTTGATCATCTTACTTAGGAGATGATTGAACCGATCGAAAGTTTGTATCAGTTTTTCTTCTGGTTTCTGTTTGAAAACTCCAAATTCTGAGAGCATCAAGGTTTGAATGGAGTGTTCTAGATCTTCATCGGTTGAGTAAAGTTCTTTCAACCTATCCCAGATTTCTTTAGCCATCGTGCATGAACCAAATAACTGAAAAGTATCAGATTGCAAGGCGAATCTGATCATTCTCATGGCCTTCACATTACACAACAACTTGTCCTTCTCATCCTGTGGCATCTTGTCTACGTCTGCCACCAGCTTGTTATATTTTTTTTGGGTCTTGACAGTCGTGTTCGTTCCTGAGTGAACAAACGGCCCAAGCGTGATAGCTTCCCAGATGAGATAGCCATTATCTTCAGATCCAACTACGTAATCTTCAAAGTGATGCGCCCATACTTCATAGTCTTGAGTGTAAAGAATGGGAATCCTGGTAGTGGATCCAATGTTGTTAGAGATGTTGATGGGATTTGTTTGAGAATCTTCGTGAGACATGGTGAGCCGCTAGAATCAGACCTGTAAACTTGAGATTAGGGTTTTATCAAACACAGGAGTTACCGTCGACAGGAAGAAGACGGCTTCTATATATTCGATAAAAGCGGAAACCCTAAAGAATTCTTAACACAGAAGGAATGTGTATTGATCACACAGTCTCCTGCTCTGATACCAATTGTTAGAACAAAGTTCTATTAGGATCGATAGATTCTATGCAGGCAAACAATTAAGAACGTACTTATCAACACAAGAATGGTTTTAAATATGTCGTATGATTAAAACTTCAACACCTCAGAAGAGCTCGATTAAGAACTTCGACTGTAGAGGTGTTTAGGGTTACAGAACAATAATCAATAATAATCAAGAACATTAACCTCTCTAATGCATACATGCATGCATTATTTATAGTATAACCCTACTAGACAATCACGGATGGACAGTCCCAATCCGGATACAAAACACAAGCCCATGACGCAACACAATAAGACCCAACACATACCAACCAACAACAAAGAATCAAGATTCGTGTTTTGAATCTGGGTTTCATAAACCGGTATCGATGCATTCTCCCTGGGTCCTCCCTCTGTGCGAATCAGTTCCCGTCGTGGCTTTCAACAACATCTATTTCATCTCTTTCAAAATTGGTCTAAACCCTAATTAACTGCAAGTTTTTGTTTTCCAGCCTCGAGAAACTGGGAGCTCTTCAATGGCGGAAAATCGTGCACGGAAATCAAGGATGGAGACTCGTCACCGCTAACTGGTTACACGTCGGATTGATTCATCTAGTCGCTAATATGTTAAGCCTTGTCCTCATCGGCATTCGCCTTGAACAACAATTTGGATTTCGTAAGTACAATCACACCTTCAATTCCTCATTTTCTTCAAATTTCAAGTTCCTTTTACATGAACAACACATCCTGAAAAACTTTTGCAGTTCGCGTAGGATTGATCTACCTGTTATCACGATTCGAGGGTAGCATTCTTTCTTCATTATTCCTTCAAAACAACATCTCAGTTGGTGCCTCCGGTGCTCTCTTCGGTTTACTCGGGACAATGCTCTCCGAACTCATCACAAACTGGACAATCTACTCCAACAATGTGAACAAAATTCCATTTTATAGATATGATAAAGTTTGAGCATTACGTGAAGCTTTTTATAGGCAAAATATGCCTAATGTGACTAATTTGCTTGCTACTGTGTTGATTTTCTTGATTGTTATATACTTTCAAGGGTTCCGTGTTGTTTTGCCTGTGAGATCTAAGAATGCTCGTGGGCAACAAGGGTCTTACCCCATTAAGTTGTTTTAAACTTCCAACATGCCTATTATTCTCCAGTCTGCACTTGTTTCCAACCTTTATTTTATATCTCAGGTATTAAACTTTTATCTATTCTTTATTTCTTTACTTGTTGAATTGAATAATTACTTATATTGTTGTTGTTGTTCCTTTTCAGTTGTTACACAGAAAGTACAGTGGGAATTTATTGGTTAATATGTTGGGAAAATGGAAGGAGTCTGAATACTCTGGTCAATCTATTCCAGTTGGTGGTCTTGCTTATTATGTTACTGCACCTTCAAGGTAATGACTGACTCCATTCCATATTTCCATTCCATTCACATTCCTTGTTTGTTTGCATGTGAATATCATCATCAGCTTGGCTGATATGGCAGCAAATCCCTTCCATGCTCTCTTTTTTTTTTAATATTTTAGTTAATTGAGTAATACTTAAAGGTTTTCAAACTTTAGCTTTAAATGGTTTCAAACTTTATAATTTTTGATTTTCACCTACAGTAATATAACTTGTTTGCTTTACCAAATGAATGTTAACCTGTAAATTCTTTCAGAATGAGGGCAATATTCTTTTAGAATGAAGAGGGCTTTAGTTTGAAGAATGCTACTATTCTTTCAGAATGAAGAAGGGAAATATTCTTCACATGTAATCTTGCAAACTGATCAGACCTAGACAACCAAAAAAGGCAAGGAAGCTTTAATTTTATTCTTTTACAATGATTGTTCTCTAAGAATGAACTCGAATTTTATTCTTTATTTTTTTTCATATCAGAATGCAAACACATGTTCATTCTATGAGAATATAAATATTACATAAAACATGTGTTGCTAGTAATTCTGACAGAATACATTTATACACGCTTTAGAGTGTTTATGCATATAGAAGAAAAGATTATGATTTAAGTGCATTCTGTAATGTATTATGTTAGAATTTATTTATATAAATGCATTCTGTTAGAATGTCTTTGAGGATGTTTGTTAACAACAAGTATATTTGTTTAACTGGTAAAACTAACGAGTAATGTATCTTATTCTTTCAGAATTGCATGGAGAAGGAATTCAATATTGATCATACAAGAGAAATATTTGGAATCGAGTTCAACAACAAGTATATATGTGAAGATCAAGTTGATTATATAGACCATTGGAGATGATCAAGTGTATTTGTTCAATAATTGTATATTCAAGAATGATATTTTTTTAAGAATTTTATTCATTTTTGATGATATTCTGTTAGAATATGTATAATTTTGGATGTATATTAAAAATAAAATCATAGACCCAAGTTGGATGTATATGAATAATATCTTATTCTTAAATCAGGTCAATTACCAAATATAACTGTATTGGAAATGTATTCTACAAGAATAAAACCGAAAATATATGTACTGGTTTATGGTTGGCATTCTGTCATTCTGACAGAATAAAATCGAATTTTTAAATTTGAATTAATTTAAAATATTCAGATTTTTAAAAATAAAGGAATTAATTATCCCTTAAATTATGGAAATTTCCTTTTTTTAATATAGGTAAATTGACTAAAATACCCTTATGCTGAAAATTATGTGATTATATGGTGCATGTTACCCTATTCTAATATCATAGACTCTCAGATATGACCTTTGATTCTATTGTGTGTTAGAATGCACCAATATGAATTTAGTATTAATTATATGTATATTAAATGTTATCCCTACTTATAACTCATTTTTATGGAAACTAATTAAATTCGTCATTAATGTCAACAATAATATTCTTTCAGAATGAATTCATATCTAGAATGAGACTGTATTCCAGCAGAATGAGAGTGTATTGTAGTAGAATACACTCTTGTTCTTCATATTACATGCAACTTTATTGTATTTTAAGTGACTGAGTCCTGAAACAAAATACGAACTCATATATAAAAACCTAGATACGAATTCATTCTGAAAGAATGTTATTGCTGACATTAATGACGGATTTAATTAGTTTCCATAAAAAGAGAATTATAATTATGGATATCATTTAATATACATATAATTATGGAAATCATTTAATATCTATATTTATTTAATTAAATAATTATTTAATTTACTAAATTCCTATTGGTGCATTCTAGCACACAATAAATGTAAGAAACAAAATAACCTAGCCCTATATATATATATATATATATATATATATATATATATATATATATATATATATATATATATTATGCGCTTAGTTTTAAAAGGCGTGAAGCGCTCTGTGGCGATTAGCCACCTAAGAGCTTCATTATTCGAGGCGCTTCAAATCGAGAGATTCACGTACGCGAGGCGTTAATATTTGCAAAACAACTATAAACTATTTTAAAAACATACCTCATACACAAAACAACTTAAAAATTAACTTAAGGAGCAAAAAAAAACATCAATTTCATATCTCAAAAAGACAAAAATAGCACAAAAATCATCAATAATCAAATTGGAATCGGAAGGAGGGAAGAAAAGAAGACTTCAGAAGAATGGAAGCATAAGAAAAGGGAGAAGGGAAGAAATATGCATGAATTTATTGTGAAGGTGGAAAACTCTTGGAATACCCTGAAGAAATACAGAGTCAACATTGATGCATCTGAAGTGTGCAGTGTATCAATAGATTACACTAGAAATAATAAAATAATTAATATGATAGAATTGAACCCAAAACCAAAAGCCTAAAGGCCAACCGGTACATGAATCCCCAAAGGCGAGGCCCTGGCGCCTAAAATCAATCGAAGCCTCCTGTGCACGACATCGCCTAGGAGGCTGGAGGCGTTTCTTTTGTCGCCTTAAGTCGCCTAGCGCCTCTGAGCGTCTGCCTGAGGCGCACTTTTTAAAACTCAGCATATGCGTGTGTGTGGTATAGCATAATAAACATAAATTGCAAACCATAATTCATAAAGCAAATAATGATCTCATTTATTTATGGTTGCAAGGCTTTCTGTAGTTGCAAGAAGTTAACCAAAGCGGCTTTCAAACATTGTCCAGATTTGCAATGTAACTGAAAGCACTTTTGTGGGTGCTCTTACCCCTCAAGTTGATTAAGTTGCTACATTACAAATAGTAAAATATATATATATATATATATATATATATATATATATATATATATATATATATATATATATATTATAAAAGACCTTGGGTGGGTTCCTAAGTGCAATTAAACGAATAATGAATCAAAGTGCAAGTTGTATATTATGCCATTAACCCTTAATTTAACATAAATGTTCGTGTACTCAATAGATATGATCAAAATAATTTGTGTGCATCGATGGTGTGTGTGTGTGTTCGGTTCCATAAATGGTATTGATGGAGATATGTTGAAGTTCTTTTGTTGAGTTTTTAAAGACATAATGGTATTGAATTTCAGAAAAACGACTAGCAACATGTATTTTTAAGAACATAAATATTTATGCTATATTAAGGGGTGATGTCACCAACTCAGCATATATCAACAAAACAAGCACGTATTTACACTTCAACTCACTAATTGTTTAACTATACTTTTTTTTTGAAAGAGTAATCGTTTAACTATACTTAAGGTCTGTTTGATTTGGTGTTGACCGGGTCCGGTCAGACGTTTTTGTCTGATTCAGTCCGGTAGTCCGGTCAGAGTGTTTGATTTGCACCTGATTCGGTCAATATCTCTTACTCGGTCCACAAAATTATCAGACTCGGTCCGGTAGAAATATAACCCTGACCCTGACCGAGACTGAAACTTCATTTTCCCCCAACTTGCCCACTGCTTCCCACGCGTTCCTTTTCTTCCCACCTCCTACATCGGCGCCTCCCACCTAGCCACCACCATCTACGTTGCTCCTCCCTCCTCCAACCAACACTGTCGTATATGTGTGTGCTAGGGCTGAACAGAAAACAGTGTCACCATCTTCCTCATTCCCTTCCAAATATCAGGAAGAATTTTGATCATGTCGTATGCTCCAATCATAATCAAATTCTGTTATTTCTATTAACAGCTTGCAAAAACCATTAGAATCAATTTTAACTATTTACATCTTTGCCCTCGTAAATGTTGCCCCTGTTCATCGATGCTAATCGGTGCTGATGTTGATCATTAATTTGGGAATTGATTTCCATGGGTGGAATTCGAGTGATTCTACTTCAAACTCACTATACAATTTAGACTACAGTCCAGTTCATGGAACCCTATCTGATCAAATTATCATATGTTCCACATCCACTGGGCCTCTAGATATATTTATGGAAATACTCAAGCTTCTCGGACCAAAAGAGGCTGCTAGTTAGATAACATGCTATGGATTTTCTTTCTTCAGAACCAACAACAGGATCCCTGGGACTCAATTCTCTTTGCGTAAACTAACTTATGATCTGGTTTTCCTTTCCCGTAGGTTTTCATTTTGTTAATTTTCAGCTTTATTGGATGTTTATAGAGTGAATTTTGAATTTTATGAACTATTTATGCTGATTTGAGAGGAATTTTCAATTCAATTATATGAGACTTAAACACTTGAATTGCATCTTAGGTCATCTTTGAATTCGGTAGAAGATTACTAACCAGCTCAAAGTGGAGAGCACATTCAAAACTATGGGTGAAGATAAACAAATCTCTCAGAGCAATTTTGTCTTGCAGTTGGAGTGAACTTTTGAAGTGCATGTTTTGTCAAAACGTGAATCATGGTCCAAGAAAGAACTTCATCTTCACATTGGTATTTTTGGTCAGCTTTGGTTATTAATTTTGTATTGGTTATTATTGATGACTCTATGTTGATGGGTTTTAATTGTATTTTGTACTTTGAAGTTTGCATTTTATAATTTTTTTATATAAAAAGTTTATTTATTGTCTTTAGAAGGGTATTGTAGTGTGTAAATTTTAATGAACTTATGAGTGTATATTTGTGTGTGCGAAAAAAATGTGTATATTTGTGTAAAAAAAATGGAGAAGAATGATTTAAAAACATAAAAAAATGTTATTTAAGGGTAATATAGCCATTTTGTACAATCAGTCAAATGCAAAATCAAACAACAAGTTTCAGTCAGAAGTTAACTCAATCAGAACTTCTAACCCAATCAGCTTCTAACCCAGTTAGCAACTATCAAACGACCCCTTAATGTCACCTAAAATGATTTTTTTTTTTTCTGTGTAAATGTTAGCAGCTTAATGATTTGAAGATGTAAACCATTAACATTGTCTATGTGGCATACTATATACATTTTCTTCTTTGTATTATCAAACGATTACAACACAAAAGTCATGAATGAAGTGCTGTGATAACAAAGAAGATGCAGTGCTAAATTGTTTCTGTGGAAGTCAAATCAAATCTCTTGCATTTTGTAAAAGAGACCTCAATTATGCAACTCTTACAAAGAATGTGACCAAAACATTACCAAAGGAAACATTATAAGAGTGAATATCAAAAAAAAAAAAAGATTAAATTTACATTTACATATAACAAAACTATACCTTTCTGCTATGTTGACTATTCAACATACGAAAGGAACATCATTGTCAATGGGTTCATTTGAGTCTGACTAAAAGGATAAGATGGACATTTCGTTTGAATATAGATCTCAGCTCTTCGTTGGCTTCTACTCCTATTCTCCTGAAAAAAATAAAAATAAAAAACATTACATTTTAATATTTTATACAAGAAATAAGTGAAAATTATGAGATGAAAGTTGATTAATTACCCTATTTTAGAACCATTCTTCCCAACTATAATTTTCCTCTGACTGAGTTTGTCAGTGATGAAATGCTGCTCAATCCTTATAGATCCATCACGCAATTCCTTCCAATCTATTAATCGATGTTCAACATCATATGGAATTTCCTGTTACAAATTTAAATGTGGGACTATAATTGGTAATTTGATTTTTTTAAAAGTTCCAATAAGAAATATTATATAATACCTGATGTATATGGTCTAGAAATTTTTCTCTAACAACTTCTAGTGATATGTTCTTCATGACATCTTGTGTCATGATCAGAGGATCTTCATCCCATGGTCTTTTAACTGCCTAACATAACAAAAAATCATACTGCCACAAAATTATTATACAAAAAATAGTATTAAACATGAAATTTATGGAGAAGCTTCAAGCTTGCCTGTTCCATCAAATATTGTACAAGATCTTTGACACCAGAACCCTTAAGTCCAGAAATCATGAAATACCTATAGGGACAAAAGAGCAAATAAATGTAAATTCAGGGTCAAAACGGGGATGAAAAGAAAAGTTATTAGTTATTACACCTACTTTTCATATCCAGGAAGATCTTTAAACTGGTCAGCAACCTTCAATAAATCTTTCTTTTTCTCTACCAAGTCTACTTTGTTCATGCATAAGATTCGTTTTTGTTTTGGATTCACTTCTGAACCCATTTGTTTAATAAGCCCCACCACTCTTTTATCAGGCCTATATACATATATGTCATTCATCTTTATACAATATATCATCATCAATAACACAATTACACAAACAAACAAACAAGATAATATGTCAACGTTTTGTGTCTAGTAAAAGATAAACCTGGTAAGATGCCTATGAACATCAAATATGACAACAAGCATGTCATAAAGATCAACTGAACTCAATGCACTTTCAACTCGAACTCTAATGTCGGATTTTGGGAGTCCATTAGTTCTCATAATCAACCCAGGGGTATCAAAGAAACACTGTTCATCAAAGAAAATTATGAAGTGAGGATGTTTGTAATATGTCATACTGGTAAAAAGATGAGAGGCATCAAAAGGGAAAACATACTATTTGCGTTTTTCCTTTCGTCATCACACCTAATACTTCATGTGTAGTTGTGTTTGTCTTGCGTGAAACTGCAGCAACCTTCGTCCCAACCTACATAAACAGAAATTCGATTTGACCTAAATGATCAATTCTAGCTAAACATTCTAATCTATAAAGTGATTAGTGGGTGTTCAAAGAGCTCGGAAGCATTAACATATAAGACATTTGATGAAAACAAGTGGAAACATGCATACCATGAAATTGGTGAGGGCGGATTTTCCAGCATTAGGAGCTCCGATAATCCCAACCGAGAGAGACAACTGATCTTCCATCTTCACCGCCTCAACATCATCTTCGTCTTCATCGGTTGGAGCCACCGCAGCTTCAAGCAGAGCCTTGGAGAGAATTGCAGCACGATGCCTTTTCTCTTCCTGCTCCATCATTCTCTCTTTCTTACTCTTCTTCTTTTTCTTTTCCTTCACTAATTTCTCTTTCTTGTCCTTCACTAATTTCTCATGCTCTTCTCCGAATATAGTTTTGTTAACTTTCCACCGATACTTTTCGTCCCAGGTGGATTCGGCATTTGAGACGGGAGTAATAGCCTCATCTAAGCCCAAACCTAGTGTCACGTTTGGTAATTCGTAATGACTGCTGTCGAATCCGAAGCCATTGGTGTCGGTGATGTGAGTTTCTTCGCTTTCGGATGCTGGGGTTTCTTGTAGGGGTTGAGATGAGAAAAATCGAGAGAGAAAGGTGGGATTAAGATTGGAGTTTTTAGGGGTTTTTGAAGAATGATTAGCAAGTGTTTGAATTAACCTCAAAGCTTTCATGTCGAGGCCTGGAATCAACTAAGAACATGTACTACGAAGAGAAATACACATCAACGGAGAGCAGAAATTGGATTAGCGGGGAGTAGAGCTTGATGAACCGGTCCGGTGAAAGAGGGGGCGAGAAAAATGAGAGGAAGGGTTCTGTTGAGGGTTTAACAAGAAGATCAACTTAGTTTGCAGGAAGTGTCCTTTTACTCTGGAAAATTGCAAACATAGCAAAAATTGGGCAATTAACTAGGATTTTCTATAAAAAATGGTAGGAAACTGATTTATTAAGGTAATTATTTTTTTGTTTTGTTCGAATAATTTTTTTATATACATTTATGTAACAAACTTTTTGGAAGTGTTCACGTATGATCATTATGACTGGTTGTAACAAGTTACATCCGGTCATAATGGTCATATGTAAACATTTTTATCAAGTTCGTTACTTATATGTGTACAAAAAAAATACCCAAATATGAATAGAACGAAAATGTACCCTTATAATTCAATTTCTTTTTTTATTTGACCTTCTAATTTTGATTTGTTATAAAATTTAACCTAAAGGATAAATATTTTAAAACCATGTCATTTTGGTAAATATCTTATTAAAATACACTACTTTGTTAAAAAAAAAATTGACAAAGAAAAAACACATCGTCGTTTTATAGAATTTTATTGTTTAAGATATTAAATATAAAAATTAAAATTTACTAGAGACAAAAAGTATCAAAGATGGAATCCAATAACAAGAAGAAGAACATCACCATCAATGAAGTTTACTCCATGTATTATAGTAGCTTTTATCTACAATGATAGCATTGCTCTTGTCTATATATATATATATATATATATATATATATATATATATATATATATATATATATATATATATTGTAACATCCGGATACCCAGGTATCTTATTTTAAGTATTTTGTTGAATTTTAGAAAGAGACTCGGCGAGTAGGTGCTCAGACTCGCCGAGTGGAATCGCGCATCTGCCAGCCTGGATTTAATGAAGGGACTCGGCGAGTCCATGCGTGGACTCGGCGAGTCCGCGCTGTTAAATGAAGCCCTAATTTTCGGGGCTTGTGCCCTATTTAAAGGCCCTTATGGCCGTCATTTGAGGCCACCTTGTTCCAGAGAAACCCTAGAGAGAGTGAGGAAGGCTTGAGTGCAAGAAAGGGCTTATAATCTTCATTTTGGGGTGATTTTTGCTAGAGAAAGAAGAGAGGATCCATCTAGAACGTGAAGGGAGCTTGGATTGGAGCTAATCATCTTGAGATATTGTCTCTGGAGGTATAATCCCTTCTATTTCGTATTGATATGATAGATTTCATGATTTTAGGGTTTTTACCTCCCTTTTTTATAAGATCTAGTGAGTATGAGGTCCCCTTTGTGTTGATGATATCAGATCTGGACCTTGAGAGGTCCATAGAGTTACTACCTTCTAGCTTTTTGCAAGCAAATAAGCAATTGGAGACTAGGTTGCCATTTCTAGTGATATTTCTCCATTTGAGGCTTGATATGGGTTGCATGCACGTGAAGGTTGCACCTTTACGTGACTTTTGAATGTTAGAAGGATGGATCTACTGTTTGGTGAAGCAGATCTGACCTCAAGAGATCTTTTGAGAGTTTTCATGGGAGGAACTCGCCGAGTCCATAAGGGACTCGACGAGTCGAGTCGGGTTGCCCCGTGACTCGCGATCTGTAACAACCCGGGGAGTATAGGGTTGACTCAGTGAGTCAAGTGAGGACCAGGGACGAGGAGGCAGGCATGTACTCGCCGAGTCACTCTAGTGCACTCGGCGAGTCTGGTCAATGTTGATTGTTGACTTCTGTTGACTTTTAGGGATTAGTCAGTGTTTGGACTTATGAGCCATTAGAGGGGCAGAATGGTCTTTTACCCTTCTTAGAGAACTTATAGAGAGGAGTTGGCCTAGCCTTTAGAAGTTGTATTGATTAGAGAATTTATTTATGTGATTAGGTGAAGGCTAGTGCAGTATTTCAGAGTTCGAGGCTTACCGAGTTACTCGAGGTGAGTCTTCTCACTATACTTTACCTAGGGTGGTAATTAGAGTTATGTGACAGAGTATTTTGTATGCTTTTGCATGATGTGATTTCTATGTGATTTATGTTATGTATGTTACAGAGTTTACAGAGTTAGGACCGGAAGGTCCACAGAGTTAGGGCCAAAGGGCCCACAGAGTTATGGGACTGGAGGGTCCCACTGAGACACATTGACCAGAGGGTAAAACAGAGTTATAGCCTCGAGTGGCTAATATGTGTTGTGTGTGGTATTTTGGGGAACTCACTAAGCATTTATGCTTACAGTGTTTTGTATTATGTGTTTCAGGTACCAGTGAGGATCGCGGGAAGGCGCCGGCATGATCAGTACACACTATTGGAGTTTTGTACATTATGATCTTGGGATGTGTTTTTATGGATTTGATATGTGATACATTGGAATTCGAGAATATTTATGAATGAAATTATATTTTAAAAAAGTGAAAAATTGTTTTGAAATTTACGGTGTTACATATATATATATATATATATATATATATATATATATATATATATATATATATATATATATATATATATATATATATATATATATATATATTGTAACGCCCCGATTCTCAAGTATCGATTTTGTATAAGAATTTCTTTGATTCAAGGTCTACTCGACGAGTTGGTTGCCCTACTCGTCGAGTAGCAGCGGGTTGGTCCATGTATTTTAGTGACCTACTCGCCGAGTCCAAGAAGGGACTCGACGAGTAGGAGCTGGCAGATGAAACCCTAAATCACGGGGTATTGCACCTTATTTAAAGGATCATTGGCCTTCCCCAGCCTCCCCTTTACAGTTACTTGACACCCTCAAACCCTAATTCGTATGAGCATACTCCAATTGTGTTTTTAAGCTTGGGAAGAGGATTTTTGGTGGGAAGAAGCTTGGAAATCAAGTGACTAGGAGCAAGGGACGTGTGGAAACAGAAATCTACCTTAATTGGCATCCTTTCTGGAAGGTATTAAGTCATTATCCTAACCCCTTTTCATTCTAGATCTATTTTGGGTGGATTTAGGGCTTTTCTAGCTTATTAGGAAGCCTTTTTTGTGTTTGAGCTAAGATCTAAGGTTTCAACTTCAGATCTGAACTCTCTTGGGTCTCTAAGTCCATAAAGCTTCCAACTTTTGCAAGAATGAGACTCTCCTAAGGTGTAGAACTCCATTGAAAGCTTGGATTGGTCATTTAGAGTCTCTAGGGCCTTGCATGCACGTAAAGGTTTCAACTTAAAGTGATAAGCATGCCCTAGGAGCTTAGATCTGCAATATGGAGCCGTGGCATGGCTTAATGTCACACCCCCGAACCAGACGGCGGAAACGTCCGAGGGCTTGTGTGTGACTTCATCTTGAAATATCATTACAGTGAATATAAATGAAACATAACATCATCATTACCATGCATAATATAATACAACTGCCATTGTTTACATCATGTACAATCTTTTAAATAACATGACCAAAACATTCAATGTATGATGTTTAACAGTACACAAAACAAAATCCCCTATTCTTGTTGATTCTTCTGCTTAATGAGTCCCTGAGAATACAAGTTATTTTGAAACGTCAACATATATAATGTTGGTGAGTTCATAAGTATATTTGAGAAAATATTTGGTATAACTTTGTAATCACAAGAAAATCCTGTATTTTCTTAAAATAGTTTGCTATGTTTATGTATGATCTTGTATTAATGCATGTGTGTTATTGTTTAATAGATTGTCAAAAGTGACTGAAGAGAATGTATATAGAATGTCACCGGACAACCCGATGTTGCCCGTAAAAGAAGAATAGTTAATGTTGTCGTACCAACACCGAGGTGGGGTACCAGTGTGAGTAAGTTACCGAGTAATCCAATCATAAAAGAAAATAGATAATGTTGTCGTACCAACACCGAGATGGGGTACCAGTGTGAGTAAGTTTCCTAGCAATCCAACATAAAAGAAAATAGTCTTCCGCAAAAGCGCAAACTTCCTAACATTAATTCCTCTAAGTGAGTCGTCATAACCATACTAAATAATGACAATTTCGCCTGTCTTGGCGTTAGTGAACGCCGACTGAAAAATAGAATAAGGTTATAGTCACCCTAGACCGATGTAGTCTAACTGTAGCAAACAGCTCAGGTGTGGGGTGTCATCCCTGTATAGATCTATACACAAAACCCCGCTCTCCCTCCAAGAGACTCTGATTATAACTACAGGCTACTATCGAACACTTAATAGGTGTCAACCGACAAAACTCACTAGATCCTTAATCGAATTTACGCGAAGATAAACATATAAAACACATTCCAGACCCAACAAACCATATAAGTGAGCTACTAGGGCATCGCTAAACATGTAAGTCATTTCAAAACCTAATATGAATGAGATTATATAACATGGGCCCAAAATATATGTAAAATGACAACTAAGGACCATTTCACATGTAAGATATTTATAGGCCCAAATAGCACGCAAATAGTATACAAAACCTATCAAACATATAAATGGGCCACTAAGGCCCAATAACCTAGAAAATGATCAAAATTAATCCGTTTGTTAGTTTATTGTTGGTTTTGGTTCAAGTATTCACTAAAATAGCATAAAAGGCCAACTTTTTGTAAAAATGACGTTCTTGGCCCAATAAACCAAAAATTTACAATTAAGGCCCAATTTTTGTAAGAATAACACTTTAGTCCCCATTTTGTTCAAAACTTGTGTTTATGACTAGTTTGTGGTAAAAATAACATTTTAAACCCATTTTTGTCAAAAATATCATTTTTGGCTTGATTTTTGTGAAAACACACATTTTTCTGGTTTTGGGCTTTTCTGACCTAGTTGTTGGAAAATTTGTAGAAAAATCATCGTAAGTCGAAATTTGGATCCGTAAATTCTGGAAGTTTGGAAATTTTGTCTAATTTGTTCAAAAATTTTTCTCATAATTTTTAATGGCCTCTAACAAGTGTGAAATTGCTCACCTTCACAGGCTGGTCCGAAATTATTTCAAATCTGATAGTCAGTTTTGTAAAATTCGCCAAAAATTGTAGAAAAATCGTATGAAAACGTGAGAGTAGTCATTTTAAAGGTATAAAACTGAACTTTTTGCACGTAAAACATTTTTGAAAAATATTAT